ATATTTACAAATAAATTAAAAACTGCCTAAATAGGCTTTTAGGTGATTTTTAAAATTATGAATAGAAGCCAATTCTCTAATTGCATAAGGCAACTTATTCCACTGAAAAGATGCTCTAAATATAACAGAGTTTTTCAAAAAGTTACTTTTAACTCGAGGAGTTACTAAATTGTGGTTAGTTGAGAATCGTGTAGCATGATTATGTATTTCATCTGGATACTGCAACTGAGCATAAAAAAAGTGTGGTGTGTTTACCAGTATTGCTTTCTTTAAAAATACAAGTAAGCCATAGTATAATTTAGCTTGTACAGAAAGCCAAGAAAGTTTACCGTGCATTTTATCAATACTTGTATAATATGAACACCTTAACACTAATCTGGCCGCCCTATTTTGGACTAACTGAAGTTCAGATCTGTCTTATTAGCTGCTGACCAAATGATTGAGCAGTACTCTAGATGAGATAATACTAGTGCATTAATGACATCTTTCATAATTGAAGAAGTGATATAAAAGGAGCATTTCCTAGCTATAGCTATGCCCTGTCCCATTTTCCTTATAACAGAGTTGATGTGCTGAGACCATGAAAGGTGGTGGTTTATGGTAACACCAAGTAATCTAGTCTGGGTGACCTGTTCTAATACCGATCCAGCTATGGAAAGATTTAGCTGTGGGCTGTTGACTAAGCGTCCTCTTTGTAAGAGGGTAATGTCACTTGTAATGGAAATTGTGTATTTTGTTTGAGTGTTTTTTTATAATTTTTGATATTTACATGCTTATATTTTCAGAATTGTAAAACCTTATTGTGGATGTAAGAGCCACATTATGTGGACATTTTGCATCCAACTCATAACATTTTATTCGGTGGTATTTGATGGTTTGGGCCCCAGGCCAAAGACTAGAAAATATGCTGAAGCAAATCTTCCCTTTGGCTTCACCTGCACAAGTGCCGAGGTAAGTCTCCCTGCAGAATTGGTTTTCGCTGGGCTCTTCAAATCACAGACAAACAGGATCCCATATTCTTGATTTTTAGTTTACATGACTAACTGCTCCTGACATGTTGGAGATGTTTGCTCTTCATACAGTAAAGTTACAGCGGGATACAAATAACATCAGGCTGATCCTGCCACGATTTGTTCCCCCGGTTCAAATCACAGACTAACAGGATCTCACAGCTGTTTATGTTTTTGAACCCATTTTGCACAGAGAGGCATTTTTTAAAAATGTATTGACAGCAATGTTGAACATTATTACACAGGAAAAAACAACTACAGTAAAATAATGACACCGTGACGCCTCTGCCTTTGTAAATGGAGGGACAGTAACTGCGTGTAAACCTGCAGACAGTCAGATTAACAGTATTTCGTCTCTTTCTGCCATCCTGCAATTCATCTCCTGTAAACAATAACGTGGCCACAGCGTGACGTGAAAAAGCCACATACCTTTGATGTTGTGTGACGAACTCTGTGTATTCCTCGTCCACACGTAAACGCAAAAAAGGAGTTTAAAAAATCTCCGTTCTCGGTGATTCGCCGTTTACGTGGACGAAACAGCTGCGTGTTCAAAAACACCCGTGTAGGTGCGGACGCAGCGTAAAAGAGTTAGTAGTTTATTTTATTACTACCTGTAATTTATTGCAGTTTACTTGTATTTGCTAAATTTTTTAGTAAGTGTGAAATAAACCGCAATGGAGTTTGAAAACAAAATATGTGTGTGTGTGTGTGTGTGTGTGTGTGTGTGTGTGTTTGACACTTTAAGAGCCGACGCCATCAGAGCACACACTTACTGTGCAGTAACACGGAATTCCAGTCTTCTTCCACTCGAGATTTGCACATTTCGTTTTAACCCTAATGATATATTTTTGTGACAGGTGACGTCACCTTCCTGTCAGACACGTGAAAACAACCTGAGGACATTAAAGCAGCAGGTTAAATAACGTTTATAAATAACGTATGGCAGCCTGGCTTCTGTCAGTCTGTCCCAGGGCAGCTGTGGCTACACCTGTAGCTGCCTCCACCAGTGTGTGAATGTGAGAGTGAATGAATAGTGGCATTGTAAAGCGATTCGGGTGCCTTGAAAAGCGCTATATAAATGCAATCCATCATTATTATTATTTTCGATGTGCACAGCGCAGAAACAGAGACACTGACCTGAGTGACGCAGAGTTTCACGTCCAGGACACGTGCACAGGCTTCAGTCACATCGTGGCCACAGACGTCACAGCAGCTGTTTCTTATCACTGATCAATAACCCCGCCCTCACCTGTCTAGCTCTGCAAGGCAGGTTTATGCAGGAACGATCGGGGACGTGACCCCACCGCAAGTCCCCCCCCAACGCTCAGCGAAGGTTTAAGACGGCACGAAAATAAAACGGATAAAACACAAAAAAACAAACAGAATACATGTTAGATTTGCTTAAAGAAAATCTGAACATATTTAAACGATGCCTTCTCTGTGCAGTTAATGAATGGTGAAATAAAAACGTCATTCAGGCTTTTACAAGTCAGCAAGTGCAAAAATACTTGAACTTACAAAACCTCTGGAATTAAATAAGGATATAGAAATAATGTAAGAAAAGTTACCAGCAACAAAATATTTTCCTCTCCTTTGAAGTTTCACTGAACAAACAAAAATCTGAAATATGCCACAGTACAGGATTTCATCAACAGCTTCTAAGAGCTGTGTTGGAGTCTGGAAATGCTTTTTTTAGAAACCCCCAGAAGTTGATTCTGTTCATCTGGACGTAGCGTTTTGTGGGAGAAACGTTTCATCATCATCAGGCGACGTCTTCAGTCTCAGCTGACTGCAGGTTTCAATCGTATAAACAGTACATTTGCATAATGACTGAAACCAGCCCACTGAAGGAACAACGGGCTGGGCCAGCCTCATCTCAGTCAATGATTGTGCAAAGCTCTATCCTCGTCTTTGAGCTTAGGATTCCTGACAAGGCGGAGTGTCTCCGCAGTTGTTCTGGGACGTTTAGACTCACAAGTTTTCTCTCCAGTGTCGTTGAACTCTTTGCTTCCTACCTTCCTGCCAGGCGTCTTCTGTACTGTGAGGCTGTTTTTGAATTCCTCGATCACTCACTCCAGTTCCTCGCGGTCGACAACACTGCAATAACTTTTTACATGCATCTTTGTGAGCATCAACAGTTCTTTCTCTGTAGTCTGACGAACTGATTTCTTTAGTTCTTGGCATGATGCTGAAGTTTTTAAACTGAGTGTAAATCGGGTGTTAACTCTATTTTGATTTTACAGCTTTGAGTATTACAAAGGTAAAGCCCATCGATGGCTTGTGCCTGACACTGATTATTTTTTCCTGAAATAATGCTCTGCTGAAAAAGCACCTTCAACAAATTTCATAGTGCGGCTAATAATTTTGTCCTCCCCTGTGCTATAGTTATTTACCCCAGTGAGAGGCGAAAGAGCTTGTAGTGCAAAACCCCAGGCTTTACCGTTACCTGGATGAGACCAAATCCTGCTTCTTCTCAGTCCAATCTTCTTTTTATTTCCCTTTTCCTGTAGTCAAAATGACTAAAGTATCTAAATCAACTTAAGCTGTCGTTTAAAAGAAGTAGGACATAAAAGAGTCTCCAGTTTTAGGAGAATGAATCTGATCTTAAACCTCGCACTCTGCGACACACTCGATACATCCCCCCAGAAGCTGAACCATGGAAGGTGTCAGGAACAGACCTGGATCCAAAACCAGAAGAAGGCCGAGTGCCGTTTGGATTTCTACTTAAAATAGAAACTTGCTCGCTGAAGCGCTCTTACTTCAGTCTGAATGATGAACATTTCATCACATTCAGGAAACACACATCTCTATGGTCAGTTTTTCTCTTCCTCCTTTATTCATGCAGCTCTCATCACATCTGGAACAAATTTTTTCATTCACCAACAAAACAACAACAACAATGTTGACCTGTGTGCACCAGGACTTCATGCCCTCTATGCTGGCTCCGGTGCACCTGTAAGGACGGAAAGATGTTCGACTGCTACAGAAACACACTGCACGACACAGATACCATTTTTGAGCCTGGCTTCATACTAGACTGACCAGCTGCTGTGCAGATGAAAAACAACATCTTGTTACTATAGCAACAGCCTGCCACAAACAAGGTTGCCATGGGCTGCGTGGACAGTTGTGAGCTAACTGATGCTAACACTTCCAGGATACAAAAAGTGTAAAAAATACAAAATGAACTTTGTACAAGTCTAACACACTGTTAAAAATCTGAGGTCATCAGAGGACAAAGGTCAGAGGTCATGGTGGATACTTACAGCAGGATCTGATCATGGACGTAACCCTAACTGATGGCTCAGCGTTCGCCCCGGTGTTTCACTCCAAGAAGGAGAAAAATGGCCGTTATGTAAAGTCCAATGAAAGAGTCAGAAATCCTACTGAGAATGTGCAGATCAGATCAAGCTGTAGTGCAATGATATTATGTGGCTGTGCTAGCCTCCTTTGGGAGGTGGGCTTTGTAGGGATTGCTACTTGCAGGCTATCTGGATTTCTTAGCACCATTCACAGCCAGAGAAGAGAACATCTGCGTGAATCTGAAGGAGTTTAATTCTGATTCGGAGATTTTCAGAACGTCATTAAATGAATGAATTAGAAGGGCACTCGGACAGGCACGAGTCCTGTCTAACAAACAGGAAGCAGAAGCATTTGACACAACCAGCTGTCGCAGACAACAGCTGAAAACAACCAGAGGAGCTTCCACCTGGAACAGAAACCTGACCTGAAGGAATACTGGTGCGACTGCGACAGTTCTCTCACGATGAAGTGGCATGACCATGTCCTGCTAATCAAAGAGCACTACAGAAAGCACAAATGTTCGGTTATACTTCTGCTACTACGACTGAAACTACAACTACTGCATTTATCAGAGCTGACAGAACAGATGGAGTGACAAATAATGACGTGAAGATGAGAATACCAAAAACATTCAGTACCATGTTTCTAGGGTGTAGTACTAGTTACACTAACACTGTAGGGGTTGCTGTTGGGCTTCTACTGCAGAATGAGTCAGTAGGCTAAAGTATTATAGGGTCATAGTTCTAGGTAAAGTACTATTATAGAATAAAGTATTTGCTGTATGGTGTAAAACAGTCGTTATGTAGTTTTAGGGCAGAGTACTAACAGCTCTAATGCTGATGTGGTACTTAGTGGTAACTGTGGGGTTTGTACTGGGTTAAATACTAGCTGAAGTACTAATGGCATATAATTTATAACCCTTCCTTTATGTCAGGTAGCTTTAGTACTTGTAGAGGTACCACTCTGTCTGATGTAATACTTGTAATACTAAACTGTAATACTAGGGGTGCAACGATACTGGTATCGATATTGAACCGTTCGATACAGAGCTTTCGGTTCGGTACGCATATGTATGAACAATACAAAAGTTTTAATTTGTTTTATCAACTTTCCTTCTGACGATGCTGTCTGTGTTGAGCGCTCAGTGGATCTGCGCTCGACAGTGCAGCCTAGGCGGAGTAGTCGAACGCAGATTCACTGAGCGCAGGGCAAGCTAGCAGACAGAAGCTAAGCTCTCCTTGCAACATGGCAAACTGAACCTCTCCCACCCTCATTCAGATCTGGCGTTTGGAATTATTTTGGTTTTCATGTGACGTATGACCCTGAAGGTAAGCGAGTCATGGACTAAAGTAAAACAGTATGTTGGATGTGCCACGCAATGCTCAATTACATGGGTGGGAACTAGTGGTTAGCGCAGTTAGCTCGTTAACGTGTTGGCCGTCCAGCCCCACGCACGGGGCGATCCGCGGTAGCTCGTTAACGGAGATTTGCCGTGTTGTGGCATTAACGTCATTTCAGATTAACGCTGACAGCACTAGTGGGAACACAACGAATATGACTGCACATTTACTCCGACATCATCCTAGTGCAAAGACAAAAACAACAAGCAGCATGCTACAAACTTTACCCGAGTCATTTAGACAGCCGTTAGCACAGGATTCTCCTTATGGGGACCTGATATGTTTAATATGCTGCTGAGAATATAGCCCAGAAGAAGCGTATAGTATAGCTTTTATTTTGGAAAGAGACATTTCTCTGTAATAAACTCTCTTTTCCAAAGATGAGGGATTTCTCCATCAGATAGATTTATTATTTTATCCCTTTGTTGTTTCAGCAACATTAAATTTAAAAACTGTACTTTTGAGTTAAAATATATATTTATAATTTTAATAAATGACAAATTAAAAAAGCATGAACATTTTTTTTTTGTATCAAAAAAATATCGAACCGTGAATTTTGTGTATCGTTGCACCCCTACTGTTTAGTAACTTGCAGTCTTAGTTGTATTTGATGCTTTTATATGCTCGAGTACTGCTATCTTAGAAACGTGAAGTAGTTCAGTGTAAGCAGGGCTTACTGGTATTTATCGAGTTGCATTGCCATTTGCTACTAGCTGAAATACTACAGCTTTATAAAAGTACAATTAGACGACTCAGGAGCTTTCAATTTAGGATTTAGTAGTTTAAGATTTTAAGACTAGCTGTAGGGTTGTTTGGAAGGTTGCATTTGAGTTCATGATGAAATATTACTATTATGAAGCGCTAGTAGTCATTGTAAGGACTGTTGGACAGTCTCACAGCGACTGCTTCATTCTTCCAGTTTTAGGATAATGACGTAATGTTGGATCGTCCACCAGGAGGTGCCACAATCCTCTGAGCAGAGCGCCGTGGTATGTGGTCATCAATCTGAGTTCCTGGACAGAAAAACAAGAAGATGATCATTTCAGTGTCACTGTTATCTTGTTTTTTTATTGCTAACCTTACACTGGTCAGATTATTGACCAGAAAACAGCACCTGCGAGGGTGAATCCCGACTGGTGGAGATTACGGGGGCCGGTCAGGGTTTTTGGACATGGGGGCCCCCTGGTGGTCGGGGTGGGTGGGACTGATTTAGTCATGCTGATGACATCATGGACTGGACCATCGTAGTTTCCACGGGGGACACCGCGAGTTTCGGCCATCTATAACGGGAAGAAATAAACCTCCAGATTACTGGATCATTTAGCCTACTGGACAGGTGGAGGCTGTTACCATGCATCTGTCACTAACTACCTCTCAGCGGCCGCTAACTGCCGGTTACCTTGCTACGGGCTTTGATCCTCTTGTACACGATATCAGGAAAAGCCTTCCTGGGAATGAAGCGTCCTGAACCTTCAGTCACGTTGAGTTTTCCGTCCTCCAGAAGAACTCGTCCGCCGCTGATCACCACCGACGCCACTCCTCGAAACTCCAAACCCTCAAAGATGTTGACCTCTAGGTTCTGCACACAGGAAATTGATCATGATGAGAAGTCTTGAAGAGGTTTGACCCTAGATGTAAATGATTTATAGCGGTGTTATTACCAGGTTGTGAGTGTTTGCAGAAACGATTCGTGTCTCCTTCGGATTCCAGATGACAATATCAGCGTCAGATCCAACAGCGATCCGACCTGAGTGTACAGAAGCATCAATCCTTAAAAACAGCTAATGTTTGGGGAAGAAAGGGCTGCAAGACTTTGTAAGATTGTTCTTCAGGATGGCTGGAGTGTTTTGTGATGTAAAGCCGGTATGTCCTTGGACTGATCCAAAGAATCTCTCTTCTCTGTGAGTGTAAAGAAGTTTTAACCATGCCAATCTCTGAGATATCGAATTATTAAAAAGAGCAATTTTAGCAATGTATCTCAATTTTTCTGGATGAAAAAGAAATGCTGCTGTAGTAAATGAAAGAAATTTGTCAGCACATCTCTTTGGGCTGTAAGACATACTTGTGTAAAATCTGGTAACTTGTTGTCCATTGTCACTGAATTGTTTATTTATTACGTAATTACTTTGACCTAGTATGATTCATTAGCAGCAAAAGTTGTATATATATTTATTCACATTTTTCAGTGCCATCCAATGAGGTGGCTTGGAGTCTTCACCTGACCTATCCTATGTTTGACACCCCTGAAATTTGTCCTCTTGTCCCAGAAACATGTCTCCAGTATTTATCTGGTGTATTTATCCTTTACATTTACCTGTGACTGACGTCATACCTTTTCGTGGATACATGCTGAAGAGCTTTGCAGCATTGGTGCTGGTTACTGCAACAAACTCATTCTCATCCATCATTCCAGTGGCCTGAGAAACACAGTGGAAACAGCATGAATGCTGGGACTCACAGTAAAAGCAGACGGATGGAGATCAGGAGGAGGAGAATCAGTACATTCACACTGATGATACCATGAGACTGAGGGTCAAGTTTTCTTACCACTGCTCTGTCCCAGACCACAGACATCCTCTCCTCTATGCCATTAGTTCCCTCTGGAATCGAAGTGAAGTTGTCTTTACCAACAGCTTTCTGAGCGGTGGAAAAGCTGGCCTGAGCGCTGGAGGTTACTTGGAGGTCTCCACTGGAAAACACACAGCAAGCACTTGTAAGGGTCACCTGTGACATCTCAGTGGTTCAGGTGAGGGGTAGTAAATGGCCTGTATTTGTATAGCGCTTTACACATCCAGTCATCCACCCATTCACACACTGGTGATGGCAGCTACATTGTAACCACAGCCACCCTGGGGCGCACTGACAGAGGCGAGGCTGCCGGACACTGGCGCCACCGGGCCCTCTGACCACCACCAGTAGTGAAGTGTCTTGCCCAAGGACACAACGACCTGTCCAAGCCGGGGCTTGAACCGGCAACCTTCCGATTACAAGGCGAACTCCCAACTCTTGAGCCACGATCGCCCCATGAAATGCTTACCATGCTAACAGGGAGGTCAAGTACTGCGGAGTCGAAGGATCAGGGTTAAGGGGCGGGCTTGTGACGAAGGCAGCAGCTATGGCCCAGTCTTTCGACCAATAATGGGAGCCGTCGGTAGCCAGGCCAGCTGTGATTGGTTCCCCATACACCACCATGCCTGAGGACAAAGAAGTTCAACTTTAGGGCACCAAGTTGCTTTTAAAGTATCAGCACCTGAGGCTGGGGGTGTTGTTTATGGTAACAAGTTACCCCAGAGCTGTGTGCAGTCTGTCAAAGTAAACTGGCTTAGGTGACCCCTTTCTCTGTATGACTTGAACATGGTGGTTAGTTCACCAAATGAAAAGCTCAGACAGCTCGACATCCAGTCCAGAAAAATGTAAATGTTGTGTTTCAGGACAGCTGGAAATCCAGAGGCTCCTGATCCAAGCCACAGGTGCGGCCAGCGACAACTCTAGAAACTGGCACCAAACTACTGACAGTCCAGAACAGTCACTCAGACCTCTCTGAGTGACTGGAGTTTGGAGAGGGCGAAAATATGTACAGCCTTTGAAAAATAGTCTATGATGGTGAGAAGGACTGTTTTACCCTCCAAGGGAGGCAGACCAATGATGAAGTCCACTGGGATGTGAGACCAAGGTTGTTCCGAGGTTGTAAGAGGGTGCAGGAGGCTGGCTGGAGGTGAACTGACAGATTTGTGTTGAGCACACAGAAGACATGCAGAAAAATGCTACCAGGCTTCTTTGATCAAGGACGGCCACCAGAAGGAGCGTTGAAGAAGAGTGATAGCCCGGTTCTTACTGGGATGGCAGCCAACTTAGAGGAATGGAGCCAGTGGATGACTCATTAATGGATGTTGGATGGAACATACAGCCGGTTGGGTGGACCGCCACCTGGATAAAATTCATCCCTTTTGGCAATTCAGATCAGTGACTTCATCTTGGAGGTGAGTGAAACTCAGAGAGAAAATCGGGCTTTGCATTCCGAGAACCTGGTCGATGGGTAATTGTGAAATTAAAGCCTGGGAAGAAGGCCCCCCTGGATTGAAATCTAGTATATCATCTCGGTAGACAAAGAAGAAACAGTTCAGGAAGTCACGGACCATGTGAAACACAGATGGTGCACAGATTAATCCAAAAGGCATTACGAGGTATTCAAAATGTCCTAAATCTTTATTAAATGCAGTCTTCCACTCATCCTCTTCTTTGGAGTGAGATGCAAGGTGCTTCACAGTTTAAAGAACACCGTTGTGCTCTGTGGGAATTCAACATTCAAACTTGATGTTTTTTAAGTTTTGTTTTTTCTCTTGTTATTTTAGTTATATTTGCATGTTTGAAATAAAATAAAAAAAATAAAATCTATCTAAAAGGGGGAGACAGCAGTGGTGGGAGTGGATATTTGTTTTGGATGGTGATATTATTTAGACCTTGGTAACTGATGGACAAAGAGACTTGTCCTTTTCTCTACAGAAAAGAACCCTGCACCTACAGGAGAAGTGGAAGTGCAAATGTGCCAGCTGTGAAACCCTTGGTAATATATTTTTCCATTTTCAGGTTTGGTGAGACTGTAACTATGACGTGTAGGTAGCGAAGCTATGGGAAGAAGGTCTGTTGCACATTAGGCCAGATCTTTACGAAAAAACTGAACAACAGATCTGGGGCTTCACTGGGGCTCTGCCTCCCATTCTACTTTTAAATACTCTAGGAACAACAACAACTGCAGTGTGAGAGCGAAGTGCTCTGATAGGGTGATATGGTACTACAAGGTCATTAAGATAAGATGGGGCCTGATTATTTAAGACCTTGTAGAGATGGGTGAGCCGGGAAACAGAAGGACCACCAGCTGAGCTCAGCATTCACCCTCTGACTCTGAAGGCTCAGGACCCCAAATAAGGGTCTGAATGAAACCTGTTAAATCTGGATTAAAGGCCAAAAGGACGAAGCTGACGCCCTCACCTTTCTTCCTGGCTTTGGCGATGACATCAGCAGCAGATTTGCTCATTACCTTGGTAATGTACAGCGGGCAGTTGGACTGTTTGGCAATGGTGATGGCCCGATACACTGCCTCAGTCTCTACCTGAAGCACACACAAAAACACACATCAGAAATATGCAACATGCCAACACATCAGCCACAATCTCCACAGGAGTGTGTCTCAGGTGTGCGTACCTCTTCTGAGTGCGATATAACATGTCCTTCAGGTCCAGTAATGCCAAGACAGAGAAGCTTCTTCTGCTCCTGAAACAAACCAGTTTATACCAGTTAAAACGTATTTACACCAGTTAAAGCCTCGGGTAACCAAACAGTGAAACTGAGCATGAACCTTATTCTCCAGGAACAGGTAAAATGACAAAATCAAAGGGTGTGAGTCTGTTTGTTGTGTTAAAATCTCTCTCTGCCATGTCATTAGAGGATGTCACATTCTGGCAGGAGGCAGCAGTGTACCTACAAGCTATTTGTGAACCACACGCAAACCATAGTAGTGGTTCGCTGCAGGGCGTCAGACCAGAGACACCCCAGCTTTAAAGGCTCATTATGGTAATGGAAGCTGTGAATGTTGGAGGAACTGTGGCTATGACACAGCACACCACTACCATACAGTGGTTTGCAAAAGTATTCGGCCCCCTTGAACTTTCCCACATTTTGTCACATTACAGCCACAAACATGAATCAATGTTATTGGAATTCCAGGTGAAAGACCAACACAAAGTGGTGCACACGTGAGAAGTGGAACCAAAATCAGACATGATTCCAAACATTTTTTACAAATAAATAACTGCAAAGTGGGGTGTGTGTAATTATTCAGCCCCCTTTGGTCTGAGTGCAGTCAGTTGCACATAGACGTTGCCTGATGAGTGCTAATGACTAAATAGAGTGCACCTGTGTGTAATCTAATGTCAGTACAGATACAGCTGCTCTGTGACGGCCTCAGAGGTTTGACCCATACTATGGAACAGTAGGAGGCGGTAATGCTCCTTTTTGTTGGTTGCCAACCGCCGTTAAACACAAAGAAGAAGAAGAAGACGGCGGCGGCCTCAGAGGTCGTCTAAGAGAATATTGGGAGCAACAACACCATGAAGTCCAAAGAACACACCAGACAGGTCAGGGATAAAGTTATTGAGACATTTAAAGCAGGCTTAGGCTACAAAAAGATTTCCCAAGCCTTGAACATCCCACGGAGCACTGTTCAAGCCATCATTCAGAAATGGAAGGAGTATGGCACAACTGTAAACCTACCAAGACAAGGCCGTCCACCTAAACTCACAGGCCGAACAAGGAGCTGATCAGAAATGCAGCCAAGAGGCCCATGGTGACTCTGGACGAGCTGCAGAGATCTACAGCTCAGGTGGGGGAATCTGTCCATAGGACAACTATTAGTGGTGCACTGCACAAAGTTGGCCTTTATGGAAGAGTGGCAAGAAGAAAGCCATTGTTAACAGAAAACCAGAAGAAGTCCCGTTTGCAGTTTGCCACAAGCCATGTGGGGACACAGCAAACATGTGGAAGAAGCTGCTCTGGTCAGATGAGACCAAAATGCAAAACGCTATGTGTGGAAAACTAACACTGCACATCACTCTGAACCATCCCCACTGTCAGATATGGTGGTGGCAGCATCATGCTCTGGGGGGGCTTCTCTTCAGCAGGGACAGGGAAGCTGGTCAGAGTTGATGGAAGATGGATGGAGCCAAATACAGGGCAATCTTGGAAGAAAACCTCTTGGAGTCTGCAGAAGACTTGAGACTGGGGCGGAGCTTCAGCTTCCAGCAGGACAACGACCGTAAACATAAAGCCAGGGCAACAATGGGATGGTTTAAAACAAAACATATCCATGTGTTAGAACGGCCCAGTCAAAGTCCAGATCTAAATCCAATCCAGAATCTGTGGCAAGATCTGAAAACTGCTGTTCACAAACGCTGTCCATCTAATCTGACTGAGCTGGAGCTGTTTCAAAGAAGAATGGGCAAAGATTTCAGTCTGTAGATGTGCAAAGCTGGTAGAGACAGACCCTGAAAGACTGGCAGCTGGAACTGCAGCAAAAGCTGGTTCTACAAAGTATTGACTCAGGGGCTGAATAATTACGCACACCCCACTTTGCAGTTATTTATTTGTAAAACATGTTTGGAATCATGTCTGATTTTCGTTCCACTTCTCACGTGTGCACCACTTTGTGTTGGTCTTTCACGTGGAAGTCCAATAAAACTGATTCATGTTTGTGGCTGTAATGTGACAAAATGTGGGAAAGTTCAAGGGGCCGAATACTTTTGCAAACCACTGTATTTTGGGATTGTAAGAATATTAAGAACTACTGGGGAGATGTCCATAAAGTGATGCAAAACATCTTTAGTACATATTCAGCCTTTGATTTCAAATCCATATTTTTAGGACACATAGCCTCAGACATAACGTGTATAGATAAATACTAACTATGTGTACTGCTAGCTGCAAGTAAAAAGGCACCGACCAAAAGATGGCTAACATAGGATCCACCAACATTAAACAGCTGGATTGATGTAACTTTTGAGATGTATAAGATGGAAAAGATTACTTTTTTAGTGAATTTTGAGTATGAGAAATTTGTAAAACACTGGGGAGAATGGCTCCACTATGTGATGACATTCATCATTGAAGGAATGGTTGTTTAAATTTTTGTTCGTTATAATAACATGTATTAATGCTATGTCACCATCTGCTACTGAGTGTGTTGGCTTTGCAATTGCTCTCTCTCTGGATAGTTACAAACTGTATCTGTCTTTACATATGTTTGTTTGTGTGTTTTCTTTTCTTTCTCTTTTTTCGTACCTGCTTGAAGAAAAAGTACTTGAAGTGATGGCGGTCACCCAGACTACTGTACATATATGAGTCTTAGAACAAAGGAAGCCATCAAATAATGTACATTTTATTTCATGCATAACTTCAATAAACACTAAAAAAACCAACCTTTTTTTGCTTCTGACTACAACACTTAATTCAGTTCAATTTTGTTTTATTTACATATCGCCAAATCACATCAACGGTCACCTCAAGGCACAAACAGTTACAATTTTATGTCTCCAGCTTCTGTTTGCATTATGCTCATCCTTAGTTTGGACTCATTTAACTGATTCAAGCCAACTGTGAAACACCAACTTTCAGTTTTCTGCTCTTTATTAAATGAACAGTCAGAGTTTTGCTCAGTTACCTCATCAATGATGTCACCATTCTCAGCATGGACCTGCGCGATGGCTCCGAGATCACGGAGGACACTGAAGGCCTCATAGAGCTGAAACCATGACAACGGTAAAATGAAAGCAAAACTAACAAAAAGAAACGATTAATGAGAAGTTACTCTGTCTGCACACCTGAGAGTCGGAGCTCTGGTACTTATCTTTGTAGGCCATGAAGAAGAGGAAGGAGTTCACACCTGAAACACAGAGTACTGCAGTTTATACTCAGCCAGACTACAGTTCACCCTCTGTGTCTTGCGATATCTGACTATAATTGATAATGAGCTTATTGATTATTGCTTGGCAATCTTGACCTTTGTCCTTGACAAGTGTCTCCAGCTCCTCGTACAGCCCCTCGTGCCAGCGGGTGATGTCCACATGGAGGGAGAAGTCGCAGCACGCCCTCTGCTCTGCCGCATCTTTCCACTGGTCAAATGCCGTTAGTAAACTAGTCCCCGGCTCCACCAGCACGTGGTCCACTGCCAACACAACCAGCTTACCGTTAGCACATCACACTGAGGCCAGATGGTATTGATCGAGTATTGGTTACTGACTAATGGTGGTGGTTCCTCCGGACAGGGCGGCTCTAGTTCCCTGGTAGAAGTCATCTGCCGGGTTCAGGCCTTTCTGCGGTGAGTACAGGTTTGTGTTGGCGTCGATTCCTCCAGGGATCACCAGCTGACCATATGCGTCCACCGTTTTCACGCCGGGCGGGACAATCAGGTTCTCGCCGATCTGTCTGATCAGGACACAACAGGAAGTCCGAGGTGTGATGGTCAAGCTAACATTGGTGTAATTATCGATTAGAATATGTTCACTCGACATCTGACTATAGGAGTAACCTGATGAAATATACTTTGCTGTGTTGTACCAGTGCTCGATGAAGACCACTAGTATACTTCCAGCAGGGGTGGGGAACGCCAGGCCTCGAGGGCCGGTGTCCTGCGGGGTTTAGATGTGTCCTTGATCCAACACAGCTGATTTAAATGGCTACATGACCTCGCCAGCATGTGTTGAAGTTCTCCAGAGGCCTGGTAATGAACTCATCATTTGATTCAGGTGTGTTGACCCAGGGTGAGCTCTAAAATCAAGGCCTGGAGTTGGACACCCCTGACTTACAGTAAACTGGGCTTTTGGATTTTCTCGTTTTCACTTCTGGTAAGATGAGCAAGCAAAAGGTTAAAAACAATGAAGCAGATCTAAGAACACCCTGGGAGAAGACGACTGGAGCTCGGGATGGCCAAAGAAGAGAAACCAGCACCTCATCTCTGACTTTTTTAAAGATGAGGCAGCAGACGAAGGACTGCTCTGTCAGAGACTGAGCTGTGATTGTCTACAGCTCAAGATGATGCTGATTCTCTGAAGTAAAGAGAGTTTAGGAATAAAACTTTGGAAGATAAACTTTTGCTTGAAGACATCATGAAGAACACCCTAAAGCTTGTAAATTGACTTTTCTACTCTTTCTGAGCACTTTAAGCCTTTTTTCTATGTAACATTTACACACATTCATACTCCAGTGGATGCATCAGAAAGCAGATGGGGGTTGATATCTTGCCTAAAGCATGCAGGCTGGAGCAGATGGGTAATAAACCACCAACCTTCCAATTAGTAGGTGACCTGCTCCACCACCTGAGCTACAGCCGCCTCAAGTGGCAGAGGCTGAAGGACCAGATGTGCTGGTCTTTGGATAAAAATGGACAAAAGAGCTGCTCAGTGTGGAGAGAGCACCACGACGGGATGGGGAGATGCTTAGGCCACACTGGGAAGGTTGATTATGAAGATTCTCAAACACAGGGACAAAGTGAAGGCGATTCACACCGACCACAAGTAAAAACCTGACACCCAACAAGTGAGATTTTAAAAGTAAATTAAATGAAATAAAGATTATGTGTGAAGAACTCAGTGCGGTCCAAACAGCTGGAAACCAGTTTTCAGATGCAGCCTTTAGACTGAAGGTCAGTATGATCCAAATTCTGCTGCCTATCACAGACATACGTGAGCAGTGACTCGGATGAGAACATCTGGTTTGACACAAAGATCCAACCGTTTCAGGAAGAGCTCAGAGAGACGCAGAGGAAATGATTTGTTAAGAAACTCCACTGAAGCTGCCTCACCTGCTCTGAATCCAGGGTGTCAGCATTAGTACAAACGTGAACAAATATCGATGAACTTTCAAGATCACAGTGAAATTTGGTCTTCTCAATGACCAAATGCCCCCCACTAAAAAAAACAACTAATTACAGAAAATACATTGCAAATGCTCCATCAGAGGAACCAATAACCCCAACATATACCTGAAACATTGACCTTTTTGAGTCAAAGAAAACTTGGTTTTAAACATGAAGGGCTATGTTGTTCTTCAGATGAGGAAAACGTTTTTTCTTCAGTGAATTTGCGTGTTTCGTTTGCCACGTGTGCAACACGAGGACATGTTTGTTCCTCTTTAAATCAGAATGATTACATCAGTGAGAAAAAAGAGAATATATTTACTTGATTGTCCCATCCTCAATATAGATATCAGCGTAGAACGACTGGTCGTCATTGACAATCTTTCCTCCTTTGATGATCAGACGGTCGCCCTGGAAACAGAGAGGATGGTGCATAGATCATAGGAAAGAAGCTTCTGACTGCAGATTCAGACGGGGTCGACGGGAGAGGTGTGGCCACCAAGCAAGTTGAGAACGCTTTCTTTGAGTTAGCTGGATCAGAGTTAGCAGCTCCCACCACATCTTTCTGGTAATTCTGACTCTCTGCTTTAGAATTTAAGCCTGCTCATGTTTAAAGAGGCATTTCACAGGTCACGTGACTCTTCTTCCTCACAAAATGATCCTTATTATGTTGGGGATGGGGCTATCTCAGCTACCGTTGGTCAGGAGGCAGGGTCACAGTTTTTGTTTGATTCCTGGTGTTTTAGTTGTTTCCTGCCTTCCTTGCGTCCCCTTGTAGCTTCTGATCTAGTCTTTATCTCTGTGTTTGGCATTTATGTTCTTTCCTGTTTTATTTTGATAGTCTCGTGTCTTGTATTTATTTTTACTTTGCATGTTACAGGTGTTTCCCCTCATTAGCACTCGGTGTGTCTGTGTGCATGAATAACACGCCTTTGCCCTCAGTCACCTCCTGAGTGCCCTATGCTGGGCCACCTCAACAGCCTGAAGGAATATTTATAATATTCATAACATATAAAAATGTATATTATATGATGTCATATTACACATATACAGTTATTATCCATGTGAGACGGGTAAAAACGAGTCTCCGGTTCTGAAGATGAAGCCGGTGTTTCTCTAGATTAAAACGGAGGCTGTGCTCTGTATTTACCCGTTGTCATGGCAAATCCTGGACGATGACCTCAGAGTGGACTGAACTCTGATCACTAATCTCAGCCGATTATCTGCAGTCACAGTTTTACAGATGTGCATCGCCTCTGATGAGGTCCCTGATTGGAGGAGTAACTCAAAGAAAGCCTGGATTTCTTGAACTTCAACATCTGTTTGGTGCAATCCAATCTCGTGATACAACACAGATGGAGGCTGCCACCCCAACGTCACCAACTAGACCAGGGGTCGGCAACCTTTCTGATGATGAGTGCATCTAAAACTTCCTCAGAAGTCAACGTGCCACATGATTGCATTAGCATTAAATTCAATAACGCTCTATATGAACAGTTAAACACTGTATAGAACAACTTTATAGAACCATATTTGTTCGCAGATGTTGGCAGCTGTCAGCGAACAGTTATCGCTGTCTACATGTTTTTAATGTATGCTAGCATCATTCAGAGCCAATCAGCTTTTAGCTGATGGTGACTGCACACCTGACCTTACAAAGGGAGATAAAGCATGTGTGAGTGCTGTAAACACTGCGGTCAGACTGTAAACAAGCTGCTGTGTGAATAAAGTTTATATGAAGCAGGAAGTAAAGGAGGTAAACTGGTGAGCGCGGGTGGGTTTTATCAATTATCGAGTGTTTGAACATTAAGGCCAGCTGTAGTTTCCTCCTGTGGCCTGCAGCCTTACTCGGGTTTATCGCACTGAAGAAAGAATAAGAACAAAGAACAAATATACGCTACGTGGCTCAAAGTGGTGTATTTATTTAAAAATGTATTTATTTACCAATAAATACATTTACAGAAATAAAGTCGCCAGTATGGAGAAATATGAAAACACAGCAGATTAGTGTTTTAAACTAAAACACTTCAGACGCTCCAGCCGTCTGAGCTCTGAAAGATCTGATTGGTTAGTGCTGGTGAGTTCATGCCTGCTGATCTCTGCTCTGGAGCAGGTTGGGTCTACAGCATCAGTTACCATGGTGATATACCCTGAATTACCTGGATAGACCAAATGCTGCCCCTCCCACTGCCACAGGTGAGCAGGACGGATGAACTGTTTTTAAAAACACGCGTAAAACGTGGATCCTGTCACCTGACAGGTGAACTGAAACAAATCGAACCATGCTGTGCCAGGACTGGGACTGGCTCAGGTTTTAACCCGTGCATTTTTATCGACCTCCCCTGAACGCAGCGTGAAAAAACCTGTCAGCATCCGTGACCTCTGCAAACCGAGCCAAGCCGAGCCGGGCCGAGGTAGACGTGTCTAATCAGCCCCGCCCCGCCCGGCCCGGCTCGCTTCCCAGCCTCGGTATGCTTCTGACTGACCGGCGGAGCCGCAGCATCACCGGTTGGTTTGCCCCGGCTCGGGTGGACCTACCGCGTGTCTCGCGCTGCTCTTCTTGGCCTGGAACGACATCCCGATCGATCTGTGATCAGCTGATTGATCCGCTCACACGCACACAGACACAGCAGCTATTGTTGCGCCCGTCGACACTGACGTCACGTTTCCGACAACACAGCCTGACACAGCTTCCGGTGGGAGCTTCAAAGTAAATCTCCCGAACGTGTCTTCTTAGAGTAATCAGAGTAAAAGTACGAGTATTGGAGGCACATTAAGAAAATATATATTTTATTGATCATTTTTTGAATAAAGTCGAAGTTTCGAGATGAGAGTGGAAATGTGGAGTTAAACGGCTGCTGTAACACTGAGGCATCAGGGAAGCTGCATCCGTCGCAGGAGTGGACCTGAACAAGTGAAATCGTTGGTCAGATGCCAGGTTCTTGCAGCCTCGGCAGTCAGTTTGCGTTGAAACAACGGCCATCTCCTCAGAATGATGTCTGGTTCCAGTTCAGACTAACAGCAACGAGTCAAAATGATCAAATGCTTTAAAGTGTTTATAATGTTTTAAGTGCTTTAAACTGATTTCTCTCCGAGTCCACCTCGAGTCTATGAACTGAGCAGATGCTGCTGTGTTTTTATTAAATTAGGAGATCCGGTGACTAAACAAAGAGCAGCTTCAGCTCAGCTGGAACTTTTTCATCAACATCAACTTTCAGATATTTAAACTCCTCAGGTTTTAGAGCAAATTAACAGCCTTTTATTCTGAAAGGAGATTAGACCTCTCGTGGCTTCTGATTGGCTCTTAGTGTCAACTAGTGGTCACAGATTTATTGAGTGATGTGAGTTGGATATTTTTTATTTGGATATAATTACACACAGTACAGAACAATAACACTCATGCTGCATGGCTGCACTGTCATTTAATCCTTTTAGTAGAACTGTACGCATACTTTTGTTTATTAGTCTGTCTATTTTTATTTTATTGTTATTTTATTCTGTAGAATGAATCACGAGTGAAAGCATGTAATAATGCATGTGTGCTAGTCTGCTCCAATTTCTCTGTAAGTACAACGACAGTAAAGGAATCTTTATCTGCTGAGACCTGAAGGATCTGTTTATCTTCACCTTCATCTGTAGTTTGACTCTTAGTCCACACACACACACACACACACACACACACACACACACACACACACACACACACAGATTAAAAGCAGTGTATGTGTGTTCACAGATGATCACATTAAATTTAGGATTTATTCCTTTTTTCTTGAGCAAAACTTTTTTGCAGTCTCAGAATCACATTTATTGGCCAAGTATATGCACAAGCACATACAAGGGAGTTTTGAGAGTCTGTCCATCTCAAACCTGCAGTAGGATGTATTCAACAAGAGCTGGTGATGTCCTGCAGATCCTTCCACACTGATGCAGGGTCGTTGGCTGAGAGCAGTTCTTTCAGCTTCTGGGAGTAGATCCTTTTAGCTGCTTTGGTCCGTGTGCTCCTGGTTTGGTTGTACAGGGCCCTGTCACCGCTTCTGTAGGTGTCCTCTTTGGCCCGATGAAGATGTTAGAGTTTAGGAGTGAACCATGGTTTATTGTTGTTGTATGTGCAAAAGGTCTTGGTTGGCACACACACATCTTCACAAAAACTGATATATGATGTCACAGTGTCTGTCAGCTCATCCAGGTTCTCAGCTGCAGCTTCAAAAACAGTCCAATCAGTGCATTCAAAACAGTCCTGCAGTTCCTGCTTTGCTGCGTTAGTCCACTTCTTCATAATTAATAAATAAATGTAAAATAAATGATAAATGAATAAATGTAAAATAAGCTCTGCA